CACAAATACACAATAGCCGAGAGGTTCCATGTTGACTAATTGATGGTTGATTCGTGGTTTAGAATCTTCTATTACGACCAACAGAATTAGCAGGCCGCATGAAGTTGTCTCCCAGCAGGTCGCAATCCCGAAGCACGACATGGTGATGACGCAGCGCAACCGCTCGCGTCCCAGAGCTTCTGTCAACCGCGAGCCGGATGGCAAGGAAATTTGTCGTGATGTCTGCACTGGTTTGAATATACAATCACACCGACTTGATTTCTTTTCGCTCTTCGGCAGCGTTCAGACTTCTCGATGACGCGCGTCGTCGCACTATTCTTCAATGATCTCCCATGACACTAGCGGCCAGCGCTGATCGATACGAGACTGTGATGGGGGAACGTCTACTCTCCTATTGTCCTTTCTCGCTCGACCATAACGATGGCGCCGATCGATACTCATTAGAGCTGCGCTCCCATCTGAATGCTGCCTCTGAATGCTCAACCCCTTGGGGAAATGCCTTGCTTTCTGAACTCTTGAAGTGGGATAACTTTTGGTGGACAGTTGTCCCGATGTTCCGGAGAATCTTCGCTTTCATTATGTAGTGCCTGTTCTCGAGAAAATAAAGATATTATTACCGTGACCGCTGTTCACCGCTCAAAAACCCACGTGCACTTTGTTCCCATTACACCGGTTATATTTATAAAACAACAAGGGCGTCCGTAAAGTGCATAACGGTGGTCAAATTTCAGCTCACATCTGTTTGTGCCGCTTTCAAGCATTAATGACCATTTTCAACGTTTTAAAGATGAGGCTGTATTAGAAAGCTTCTTGTCGATCGATGGTCCCACTGACAGGCACTAATCTTCCAACAGAAGTCCACTTTCACCCAGGGTACAGAATTAGAGTCCGTCCCAAGAAAGACCGATCAGCAAAGTAAGATTTGGCGCAGTTTGGCGACGCGGGGGGGGGCATTTTGCACTTCCACTGCTTCACTACTTCCGGTTTACAAGTCTCACTCTGGTGAAACTTGTGAACTCTTGTGAAGCTGGAGCAAGCTCGTCTAGCCACCATGGTAAAACGTGTCAACTCAAGAAAAGGCTATCTAGATGGGTCGACACATCGATGGAAGCAAAATGCCCCCCCCCCATTATCATTGTGTTTTATCTCCAAGGCAAGTTCCTTATCCATAAATAGCTCCGGACAGTTTAGACGGGGTTCGAGTGGCATGTTCCGATCCGAACTGTGTACCATAGGAAGTCCGACGCGGTAACCCTGGGTAACCACTTCATCGAGGTATTCATTCTGTGCACTACTCAGGGGGGAGGGGCAATAAGTAGTACAGACGAATCAGTTCACCGCAGCCAAGGTTTGATAGTTTGTTTAACCGATTACATTGACATCACTCTTCTTGTGGCGCCTGGCTCCGAGCGATACGAATCGTTTCTGCCAACATGATTAGAGACAACGCTGTGGGAATGAGAAAAAAACCGTCTGGGGTTGAAGAAGGTCTCGAATCTAATATGGAATGGGGCTCGGGAAGAATTGTGAGCTCACTGCAAAGCCTATGAAGAAGAACTTTCTAAAAGTTGCACCACTATTGTGGGAGGGAGCGCAGAATTTCAAAGACAAAGTATCCTGGGGGTTGCGTCGACCACAATTCTCCAAACGGGCATCCGCAAGATAGTTCGCTTCTTTTCACGGCCACTTCTTTTCATGCACTTCCATCACACAAAAAAGTGTAGTCATTCCCAAAAATCATCGCAATTTAAAACCCATTCCACGCTGATCATGTGGGCGGAGGCAGTAAACCACTTTGTTTTCCTGGTTGGTCAGAGCCTCTTCTTAAGACGGCAGAAAAGAAAGGCACACCAGTGTATGAGCCGCAGTGGTTAGCCACACCCGCACACTTCCCAACCCATCCAATAATCCATCTGCCTTCAAAAAGCAGCAATGCAGCCGTTATCACTGAGCCTAATCGGGGCGTGTCAGCGAGGACCCCCGATGGGTTTTTCTGGATTTTAACGCAGCGCCAACCTGCTTCCTACTGACGGTTGCTACTTGGGGCGTTCAATAAAGTATGTGAAAGGTAATACCACGGAAAAGCAAGGCAACTCGTCCACTCGTCGATAATTTATCCATTCACCAGTTTTACGAGTTACGAGGATGAGTTTTTATGGAAACGGTATTGGTTGAAGGATCCACGTCGCAGTGACGCGCGTAAGCTGGCAACTATTTACTAACTAGTTGACCCGGTATACTGTAGCAATTCAGGCTTAGGCCAAGGCAGCCTAAATCGTCGTGCTGGTGGGCGTGGCTAGCGGTATCGCCCGCAGCATGTGCCATTTGGGTAGTAGTTAGCAGTATATGCCATGATCTAATGTCAACTTTTGCTATTTAGTGGAGAAAGACAGCTGTAATGTGTGATGTTAGCTTACTTGTCGTTGCGTGTCCTAGAACAGCCGCGCCTACTGCCGCACGATGCGCCGCGCGCGACGGTGCGGCAAACTACAACTGACTTGCCGGCCTCCCATGGCGACGCAACGTGGATCTCCTAACCGGCACCCGCAAGATAGTAGAGCTTGCGAAACATTGAAACATATAAATGAACCTTTCAATTACAATACGTATGGAGCTTTGCAACGAAAGTCAGTTACTAAATATGAGTAAGAAAACACAAGGAAAATGGTGAAAAATCAAAAGGAACGGGAAGAAGAAGAAAAAGAAGAATGGGAAGAAGAAAAGTGGCGCTCGAGAGATGAATCCATTGATCGGTCAGCTGGTCGATGTGGCTACGATCCCTTGCTTATTTGATCTCTGAGTTGAACAATTGAATTTACTAGAGTCATTTCCCCCCCCCTTCCCACCCACTTCCTCATGCCCGCTCTGTCCATTCCCTTACTGTGGTGTAGTAATGATTTCATGGGAAAAGTGCATTATACCCTCGAGCTCAGGAGAGCCCCCACGAAGTCCCAGATAGGCACGAGTGGTTGAAGAACTCTCAGCTGAGGAGTCCTGTTAGGGTCGCTTTGGGAGGGGACAGCATTTGACTTGCCGAACAAGGTCTGCATTGTCCTGGTTAATAGGGCCTGGAAGTCCCCTCCCCCCCCCACCTAGAAAACTTCTAATAAAACCATGATAAAAACTCTTTAGGAGACGATTTTGCAAAAGAATAATGCTGACGTTAAGCACTGGAATTGTCACAAAATAAACTACATTGTGGATCGGCTGCCCCCCCACCCCTACGCCAGTGTATAGGTTAATCACATTCAAAATGCACCTACGATTCGGAACGGAGGGAACTGGAAGGGAACTGTGTGCATACCACGCGTTTTCCTTGTAGGTACGCCAGTCACCTGAACTGTAGCTCTTAAGAGAGCTACCATGTTGACGAGGTTCGGCTTCGTGCCTTTTGCTACGGTTTTAAATGGCGCTGAAAATGAGCGCTATTTGCGGTACGGACACTGGATAGTGTCAGAGATAATGCTTCTAGACGGCGCAATTTGCCGACGGGGAGGGGGGGGGGGCATTTTGCACTTTCGTTGCTTCACTAGTTCTGGTTTACAAGTCTCACTCTGGTGAAACCTGTGAACTCTTGTGAAGCTGGAGCAAGCTCGTCAAGCCATCATGGTAAAACCTGTCAACTCGAGAAGAGGCTGTCTAGATGGGTCGACACGTCGATGGGAAGTCGTTAAAGTGCAAAATGCCCCCCCCGTCGCCAAACAGCGCCCTTCTAGTCAAACTGTACCCTCACCTCTCAGGACAGTCTCTCTATGTGAGGTGAACGCGTCCGCAGCTGCAGTAGCGTGCTTTCTTCTCACCTCAGCTCAAAAGTGCGCAGGAATGGGGCTGGAGATGAGTGACCTCCGGTCTCCTGCTGTCTCCATATGCCGCATGTCTCCACCCACGGTATCCTCATGTGCAGCGCCTGTGTCGATATCAAGTCTCGCAGCGAAACACGCCTCAGCGGTAGAGAAGAGAAGTGAGAGGGCGCAGACAAGCAGCGTGTTCGGCTATGGTTAGGCCTGCGGATGGTTTAGCGGCAGCTTGGGCAGAGTATGGAGGGTATGGAGCACCTGGGTATGACTACCCTCCGGTCCCGTTCCCATGCACTTTTGAGCGGAGGCAGTGGCACACCCCTGCACCTGCGGACCCATTCGCCTCGCACATGGCAGAGAGGATCGCGGAGGTGAGTAAACGGCATCTATAAGCATATTGGGTATTTCGGGTTCTAAAGGTGAGGCAGTGCCCTATTATAATAGTAAACTGATCTGAAACAATTTTCTGAGGCAGCATTCAGACTTCGCGAAAGCAGCGCTTCGGTCGCGCGTTCAACGCGATCGATGCAGTAGAAAGCATACTCATCGATCACGCCCAACGCGCTACAGAGGAGCTGCCGTCGCGAAGTTTGAACGCTGCCTTATTTGCACGATGATGAGTTATATACCACCCTCCCCCGCCCTTTTTTTCTCGGGTTTTCCTCATTAGAAAGCTACCTTGCTCAGAAATGGCATTTGCCGCGCTCAAGCTCCTTGGGTCTTCTATGAGGGATTGAGAAGCTCATTTTATAACGAAGTCGCAGAGAATGGCCCATTTTTACATGAAGTGCTAGAAAAGGCTAAATGTAGAGGAAATACCGTGGACCAATACGAATTCCGCGCGCAATTGAAAGCGGACCGTCCTTTAACATTTTCAGGGTTTTTTCAACTATCCATGGCATTTTAGCCAGTTCATATCGATAGTCACGAGATTTAGTACTTGATGGGTGACTGAATATTTTAACAAAATTTCCTCGAACGGACTTATAGTTGCGTGTATGGACGTTTCTCGATCAGATCTATACCGCTATCAATCGTTTGTCTTACGATTCAAAAAACAAAACTTAGATTTACGCGGTATCTCTATTTGCTGCGCATTGCCCACTTGTTGTGTGAAGCTCAGTTGTTCGAAGAAAAGGGCTTAATATTTCTTTATTTCAGATTATTCAGTGGGTTGTACACGTAGACTGCTAAGTTCAGTAAATGTCGGTTCATCCAGTCCTAGGAGGTGAAAGTCGTGTTGGCTCGCCTGTGGATGAAAATGGAAAATCGAGGTTGTCTAAGCTCGACTCGTTGTCTTACAGTTGTTTTATATTTTCGTTTATTTTAAGATCTCAGCAACCTGTTCCACCAAATTCTGCAAAACAAGATCGATTTGCAGGTTTGTCGTTGCTTTAAATTAGAACTGACAAATCGGTTTGGAGAGGGGAGGGGATTCTATATAAAGGGCTTCTTAGAAAGCTGGGAGCGCTTCCCTGAAATGATAATTTTTTCCGCAGGAACTTTTAGCTCAGTAGGTAACACAATAGACTCACAGAAGCATACATAGGCGTAAAGTGAAATGCAATCTGCATGCAACTACAGACTCACACCTTACTCGACGCCCCTTGGCTGAAAAAGTCTTACTGAATCTTTTATGTTGCTGAACGTCTTCTTGCATTGCAGAAAGAAATGCGCGTTGGATGTTTGTGGATCAACACTTATGACACGAAGTTCTGATTTATCTTACAAAAAAAAACCTCCGGGTATTGTCATCAAATCAAGCCCAGAAGACGCTTGGCAACTTAGCAAACCCGCCATATGTTTTTTCAGCGTAAAGGCCCGTAAATAACGTTCGTGAATCCGTAACGCGCCGCGCGGCGTTGCATTTTACTTTACGCTTAAATACTCCTGTGAGTTGATTGCTCCATTGTGTAATAGTTTCGTGAAAGGTCCTAGGTGGGCCCATTTCCTTGGTCAGAGAAGAACCCTGAAATGATTGTTGTAGTTTTAGATACATCTACCCGGCCAGCTTTGCTTTGGAGATCATTATATCCCCTGTTCATTGATTTACTTATTTTGTTTGTTCCAAAACTCGATTCTGTTAAGGAATTCTTCAGCTTCAGATCTTAAGCGACGCTCAGCGTACGCATTCAGTGTTTTCGCCAATGAAGAACGGGAGAAGCTGTTGAAAACACATCCTGATCTACCTATGGGGGTTGTAACCCGAATGGTGAGTCATTGTATGAGTTTCTGGTACCGCTCCACGGAAATGCTTGATCGCCAGGTCTTCCAAAATGAACCATATTTCTGCTACTCTCTTTCATCGCGCGAATAGTGTTCCATGGCCACTGTTACCCGTGCTTCCGCTGCATTCATGTCTGTAAGTGGATCGCCGCTCACCTTCCCTGAGAACTACTCGATGCACCCATGCGTTCCTTTACTCTTTTGAACGCTTCGGCAGCCCCTGTCTCAATAAGGACCAACTAAACGTTCTTTTACATCTCTGCCGCTCTGTCACCTTCGCGCCAGGACGCTTTGTCGTGTGCGTCCTGGCGCGAAAAGCCCGAGCGCAGAGGGCAGCGACGGTCATAGCACCAGAGGTGCAAAAGCGTGAGGCTAGCCAGATGGGGACTCCGGGACATATCGGGACAATGTAACGTAATATAATGTCCAATTTTGCGTCGTAGGACGCCATACAGTGGCGAGAAAATGCAGAGGATACAGAAAAGTAAAGTAGGTTTATTTCTGGACTCAAGTGCAGTTGTCGCGAACGCATGGTTGTACGGCTAAGTTTTTCGCCGTGCAGCGACTGTACGATCCAGCAGTCACTTGACTGTAACTTGATTTTGTCTTTTTCTTTTATGTATTCAAACAACTTAAATACTTATCTGAGAGCACTTATAAATTTAGATGGTTGAGAAATGGAAAGGTCTCAACACAGAGGCGAAGATGCCATATTTCGATGCTTCACGAATATCAGCTCTGAAAACTACTACTGCGAAGGTTGGACTTGATTGACGACATTCATGTACAACGCTTTTTGCCTGCAGATGCCCGGACTAAGCTAGGGATCAGAACGCGCTCCTACTTCGCGATCCGATCGCGCGATCGGATCCGCTAGCTTAAGCGATCGCATCGCTGCACTGCATGAGCATCGCTGCACTGCATGAACGCAGTTCAGTCGAATCTGGCCGTGGCGGCAGTCCTTCGGTTGGCGGTGGAGCGGCTCCAGCCATGGTCGCGCGAGCAATTCGATGGCGCGATCTAATCCCTCGAAAAATCCGATCACGGCGATCCAAGCGATCGGAAGCGAAGTATGAACGCGCTCTCAGTGATGGGACGTTTTCTGGGTTATGTAGGGCTTGCCTAAGGGTAGTGGAAGACAGTTCCCTACAAGCTCAACGAGAAATGCAGTTCATTTTGTATAGGGGGCGCAATATGCCGACGGGGGGGGGCATTTTGCACTTTTGCTACTTCCCATCGACGTGTCGACCTATCTAGACAGCCTCTTCTCGAGTTGACAGGTTTTAACATGATGGCTTGCTCCAGCTTCACAAGAGTTCACAGGTTTCGCCAGAGTGAGACTTGTAAACCGGAACTAAGGAAGCAATGATAGTACAAAATGCCCCCCCCCCGTCGACAAACTGCGCCTGTCTTGGGTGTTGTCATCGTGATGGGCCATAGTCTAAGGCAAGAGCTTTGTCCACAAAAAGTTGACCGACTGGGTTATTTCTTGAAAAGCTTATCGCAATCACTTTGTAGACACCTTTATTTTCAGCCGAATGTTGACGAAATAAAACTGCCGGTTCCTGCAAAAAGGCTACGCCCTATTATCCCATATACAAAGATTTCTTTGCCTATAAACGATCAGCCCTTGCGGGTGGAAACTGTTACGGAACAGCAGCCAGGAAAAGTTATTTTCGTACAAGGTTAGGCGTACTGTTTCCTTTTTATTCTTTTTTTGTCATTTTTTTTCAAAAATTTATGGGCTGTTATTGGACTTATTTTGTCAAGACGTGATTTCCAGGACGAGTCAATCCAGTGGCTGAACGTCCTAGAATCCAACACTGTGGGTTATATGTAGTTCACGATCATTGCTTATCGACCGTATCCCTGCGATGGGGAGGGCGTGGCAAGCATAGGATGCATTTTTCTTGTGATGTTTCCATTTGAGGCAACTGTCGTTATCTACTGCTCTGAACAAAGATATGGTTAGCGTTGCCCTAGCACGGGAATATCCCATCATAAGCGCAGTGGCCGTCACGTTCGATTGAAATACGAAGCCACACCCTCCCCGTCTAAGGGGTATAGGTCTGAGCAGTAATAGAAAGTCACTTTGTATGCCGTATATTGCGGCCAACCGGTGCTTTTTCAGTCCAGATGTGCTGTTTGTTTTAGCCTCTTCAATTTCCGCTTCGATAGCTCATGCTCTTGGAATGCCCATGAGTTCGCAACCACAACGAACGTCGTCGGCTCCAGTCATAGCTCGTGTAAGCCCCCCTCCAATCAGAACCACTGCTGTACGTGCTCGACAAGCGGCAAGCGTGGTTTCTTCGCAACAAATAACGGCAGCGGTGAGTTAATAAGGCATTTTGTTTCTCTTTCCTGTCGAGACTGTATCTGACAATGTTCTCATTCGATAACTTCCAGCCAATGTCCGTTCCTGTAGTACCTGCCGAAGCAGAAGTACAACCTTCTACTACAAATAATGGATTCGCAACTTCTCAGCAAGCTCTGGAAATGTTCTACCTTGCTCTCTGTGAGCCTGCGTTCCCTCATCCAAGTAGGTCCTTCACACAGTTTTCGGAGCAGTCTGGCTTGGCGTGGGGGCACTGAATGATACTCAGTTATGGTTGTGCAGGTCCCCTTGTAAAAACGTGTAAATTCCTGTGACCAAAGTGGTTCATCGCACCATTCCGCAGTTTACATGGGTTTACACGTCTCACCGGATCAGAGAACCTGTCACCTGCTATTTAAGACAAGGAACTGAGAAGAGTGCTGGATGGCCCCTCCAAGCCGAACCGCGCACCAAAATGATTACTATATTTGATTTTTGCTTTTTTTCCTCGTGTTTTTCCTCGAATAGGTCCTACAAGCTTTGTTCAATGGATCTTTGAAAAAATATAGTATTATCCACCTGTGGCCCTTTCTCTGCACGTTACGCTACGTGAGCTTACATAGCCTAATTGATAATGTACGGATGAATCACGTTCGTCTACCTCAGTTATTCAGAGTGTTTTATTTCTGAAGTTTCCCACGCCGTAAAAGCTCCTGCTAAGGCCCCTCCAGCCTCATAAATCAAAAAAATCTCAGTGGACGTCGTTCAGCCAACGGTTACGCGGCACTTCAGGCAGAGTGCTTTCGCTGCGAGGGCCCAGGGGTATTTTCTCGAGGCATCGGAAGGGTCTTAGGAAAAGAAGGGGGGAGGAAGGAAAAAGGAAAGAGGAGAGCGGCCTTATGCTCGACAAGTGCCCTGAGATGTATACACAAGCGACAATGAAGCTTCGATTTCTACTTATCTGTTGGCACCGTTTTCGCTGCTGGGCCTTTGATGACGGAGTTGGGGGTGGAGCTCCAATTTTTTTGTACTACAATTGAAATTCATGTGCTGTTGTAAACTCAGTATTCCTAAAAAAATGTTACAGATGAGCCGCCATTGACTCCATATCCAGCGAACTATTGTTATGACGAGTATTTGAGGATGACATCCGGTCAGGGTCCACTGTAACGACGCCTCTGGTGGTATAATTCATTCACTTTTCAATGTTACATAACACGTTTCTGGAAATGCGTTGTCCACTTTGGGCTTGAAGCAAGCCATATGACACTTTTCCATTGGCTATGTGCCCAAAATGTGTTAGTCTCCGCGTAGTCATTATATGTACACTTATAAAACCCCATTATGATCGACAAAACCGCGTTTTTATCAGGTGTTTGCTTGCAATTTGGCTGAAATACCGCATTTGGCCATTTTGAATTGAATTTTGGCCATATTTTCATTCTGATTGTGTGGAATGCTGAATATATTCAGTGAAATTGTTTTTTTTTCTTTTTTTACCTATGACAACAAGCATATCAAAGTCGAGTATCTATCACTTTGGCTTAAGAAATGCGGAACAGACTTTTGCTAGTCCAACTGCCCAACCCAGTGTTTGGAGTACGGTACGCAACCTCGGGTTTTCTTCACTTTGCATAAACTCTTCTCTCATGGTTTCTCTCCTATAATAAATACACTGAAAATTACTTTGCGAAATTTTTTGTCTCTTTGCAATAGCCCTGTTTATTTTTTTTCTAAAATTGAGCCTTTTTGATATTTTGGAGTTACCATATAACGCAATAAAAACCACAAGAACCCTGGTCTAATAGTTTAATGCGTGAAGTCCTACGCGCCTTTCTGGATACGTTACAAAGCTCCTCGCTGATGGGCGAGCGACGTTGCGGCCCGACGGACGAGTTGTACTCCCTCGTCTTTTGAGTTTGAGCTTTGAAGTGGCGAAAAGTACAATGTCAATTACTATATATTTGCGTCATATTATTCTTGTCTCCGCTTGAATACTGTAGGTTCCGCTACTCCAGTCGACAAACTAATGCACATCGGAAGTTGCCGCACGATACGCCACGCGCGACGACGCGACAAACCACGATTGTCCATTCCAACTCCTCTCCTTTTTTCGGCCGATAAGCAATGCTAGGTGACTGAGTATGAATGAATATTGTTGCGAGCGTGTAGGGTAAAGTTCAGGGTATTCAAGGCTCCGTCGCATCCCCAGAAGCACTGGGCTGACAACTCGCACACACTAACGAACGTGAGCTGTGCCTTTAGGTCCACTTGGGAATCATCGCTATGGGGCTGCGGAAGGAAGATGTGAGGTGACTACGTAGTAGCAATTCATTTCTAATTTCCGTACTGTTCCTTCAAATTTGCCTCAAAATGTCCTAAGGGGGCTAAGGACGAAAGGGAACCGCTTCGCGACCGCATGCGCTTGTTTCATATTTATTGCGAGTGCGTCTTAGTGAGCACTTTTGGAGCCTTAGAAAAGGTTTCCTGTGCAGAATTCTAATATTTTCTCATTTTATCCCCTTCGATAGACTTATCCTGCCGTACTCTAAACCCTGGAAAAGGGCTCAGCAAGGGTAACCTCTAGCACAATCCGCTGGAAGCTGAAGTGATTTCATTGGATATTGATTTCCTTCAGTGCTTACTGACTCGGCTAATATGTCTGTAAAATTGGATTCGTATTGCATCTCAATCCTGTCCTAAGAAGACCACTGTGTTTATTTTCTGTTTTCTTTTCTTTTTGAAGAAATTATTGTTGAATCGTGATAACGAAACCTGGTGTGGACCTTGTGACACACATTAAAAAACATTGTTAAGTTTTGTTTGGCAGTTTTGATTATGATGTGCGTTGGGTGTTCCAGTCGCCATAGGCACGAGTAACTGTTTGTTAGGTTGGGAAGCACGCCGCGCGTGTTGTAAGCGTTTCAAACGCTCTGCACACGCGCCGCTTACTTGCAACCTAAGTTGCACAGCATAGACTCGAGCTGATCGCGATTTCCGTTGGCGCTTTGCTGTTGCCTCTTCGTTTTCTTTTTTCTTTTTCAGTGACAATGTCGCGTATTGTTGTGTTTACAATATGTACTTATAAAGTTTATTACAATTCCTCATACATAAAAGACACATTGGCATACTCGTAATGGATTCTTTTGAGAGTTACTGACAAACGCCCATAGAGCGTTTCTCGCGAACATATAAGATTTCACATCGAAAGCGAAGTGCTAGTGTGATGGAGATAGGTTGTAAGGGGAGCTTGGCTATACTTTCCTCTTCGTCTGCGCCCTCCTTACGAGATGGAGTTCGCTCGATGGCGTTGCGTTCATACTTTTCGCGACTTGCGCGCAAAAGTTGGCAATCTGCGCGATGTTGCAACTGGCATTTCAATCATGTACAGAACATATTCCAGTAGTTTGCAGCGGTCCAAAGATTAGCCGTTGAGCGCTACTTGTATCGCGCGATTACCAAACAGCTAAGTATGAACGCGATCTCATTCTTTTGGGGGCGGTCACTGTTTTTTTGTTACGGTGCAGACGAACAGAAAAGGGTGTGGCCCAGGGTTAACCCCCCTACCCCCCTCCGACTACACTAGCAACAAAAGCAAAGCTTGGCAGGGGTTGTGCCGGCGATCAACACGCCCTTCAGTCGCATTTTTGATGCGTTCCGCCTACACCCCAGAGCAACCTCCACACCAGTAAAGGCTGGGACAGACTACATGCCACCAGAAGATGGTAAAGCTGCTCGAAAAATCCTTGACATATTTGACGTTTTCTATTCCTTGGGCTTGAGAAGTGAAGAAATGATCTCATACATGGAGATGTTGGCCGTCATAATTGCACAGGTTCGTTCTTATCGTCGTGGTACTCTGTGACTTCTGTAGATGTACTCAATTTCTGCACTGTCGCAAGACGCATCCATCCTTGGATCATACCCGTGTGGGCAATCATCGCCTAAAACCACACATAATTAGTGGAGCAGAAGTACGACCCTGGCGCCTTCAAGGGCTCAGTCCACGATGATCATGTCGGCGGAGACACCCAGCCGTGGTGCGGTCTCATTGGCACGCTCCTCAATACTCATGTCAGAGGAGAAGTGCACGAATGAGGCCGACGCGTGGTTGGGTATCTCCGCCCATATGATCATCGCGAATAGTAGCCTTTAAAGGACAAACTATGCAGGTCTGTTCTTCTGAGAGAGAATGTATGGGAATGCTTCTCACCTGGAGTGCTCCTTCTCGTATTGTGGACAATTGGCGCCGCTTGCTGTCGATAATTGTCGAATGTGCGCTACGAATCTCCTTATTCATAGCGGTCAATATCACGGGATACGCCGTGCATGCGATATAGGGTAGCAAATGCGTGAACGCTGATACCACAACCATCCACCTGTAAAAAATAGATGTGAAACATGCTTTCACTTAGCAAATGCTTCGCAACATTTCAGTGAGAAAAAAGTAATGACCACGCGCGCACGTAAAGTCAATACCTATACTGAACGCGTGCATGAAATTCCGGTGAAGGGGGAAGGGGGTAGAGAAGGGGCGTGTCGTACTAAAGGAGAAAATTTCGAGGGATGGAGTCGTATTTGGCAAAAATTCTTCCCAACGGCAGGACGTGCCCTGGTAGTAAGCTGCTTTTACTAGAACGATGAATACGAGTAGGGCAAAATGGGTAAGACACAAATGATGACTCCTCCGCCCATACGATCAACGTGGACTCCTTCAACTGTTGTCCCCGTTGTCCCACAAAAGATAAAAGTGGGTTTCAATCCCCCACGCTTTTTTATTGCCATAGTTCACGGTAGTAGGTAAAGTGCGTGAAAAGTACCGTACCTGTGCAGGATGTGTACCATAGAGAGGAACCAGAATAGAATCCAGTAAGGAGTCCAACACATGAGATACACGGCAACGAAAGCCGTCACCGTTCGTCGAATACGAAGTATCGATTGGCTATTGATTCGTTGTCCAGCTGGAAAGTCGATATTTTGAACGTTGAAGGGGTTGAAGTACGTAGAGGTTAATCCTCAGCGAGTGGTTGTTTCCGGGTCACGGGACAGGGGGGGGGGCGTGCTTGGCATGGTCATCCCAGGTTTTTTTTTCAAAAAGCTTGACTGGGTGAGCTTGTTCAAGAGGGGTCACACCCAAGATAGTAGTGGGGGGGGTCCTACTGAAAGATACTCATCACTAAAGCGTCCCTTGCTTAAACCCCCTTCGTTTCCCGTTTCGTTCTCCCAAGAACTCATCAAGATGATTGGGGATGTTTTGTCAGGGATTATCTCGTAAAAGCAGAGGCGTCCATAAGAGTATCAACATGGATTTGGAGGGACATGCCGAGGAAAATGACGTATATTCCCGTAAGAAGAGATCACCTGTTACGTTCGTCGAATAGCGTCGTTTCAGAAGTATCGGTACATTAGCGTAGAAATAGACGTAACCGATACTGGTCATGATGTAACCCACAATGAATGCAATCAAATTAAAAGCTGTCTCTGAAATTGAAGGATTTCTTTAAGATTTTCTTGATCACATAGGAGGGATCTCTTGGCACTTATCTAACTGTGAGGGACACTTCGCCACAGAACAGCCAAGAGGCACCCGGGCGATTCTATCGTCGGCAAGTCAGGCGACGCCGCACCGCGTCGCTGCGCGCACGCGACGCGGCAATCCCGGAGTTGCATTACCGTACTCCCGAGTTGTCATTGGAGCAACGGCCACAGCAAGCTGTGCCTCTTTCAAATTGTTAAAGGGATCGTCGACCCTTTAACAATTTGAACGCCACGCAACAAAACTCGTACGCGGCGGTCGTCACGCCGCCTCGCGCACCGACGCGATGTCTTGACGATAGAATCACCACACACCCCAGCCAAGACATCTAAGCCCGCGACAAAGATCAACCCGGAGCACCTAACAT